TGTTTCTGGTCGGGAGGCTGCTTGTGACAGCCCTGATCATCTTTAATTCATGGAGTTGTGGAGGGAGGATAAGTGGGACAGAGAATGTTCTGCACATTTTCCTTTTGGGTAACCAAGTCTGTCCTTGTGATAAGTGACAATTATCCTAAAAGCCTCTTTTTGCAGGTGAGACTCCAGCTCCGCTGCCTCAAAGCAGAAAAGGAACCTAATTGGGCTCTGATCAAGAGCAAACAACACCTCAAAGATGCAGGGAACAGTGTTTTCCCCAGCTAACAGGCTCTGCCTTTGGAACGGGGAGGAACAATGGGTGCGCCGTGTAATCACATCCCCGGCGCTTTGTCTGCTGCAGGGCTGTTAAATATTGGATAAGAGCACTCAGGGAACGCTCCGGGAGGGGAAAGCAGCTGAAGGAAAAAGGAAGGTCAGAGGAGAGGGGACCCCACCGTGGGTGGTGGGGATGGAGCTCCCTGATGGGGGGAAATGATGTGTGTAAATGGGGGCGAGTGGTGCTGGCAGCTCCTCCGGCCCAGTCTGGGTTTGGGAACAGCTCCTGCCCCAAATCCCTGGACTGTTCACTCACTCCCTGCTCACATTTTGGGTAACTGAGCTCCTGCTGAGGCCTGATGAACAGAGGGAGCTCAGAGAGCACCACGGGGCCAGGAGGAGATGAAGGGCCACGATGCACCATGATCAGTCACCTGCAGCTTCCCACCTCCTGCACCCAGAACCTTCTGTCTGGGAGTTTTGGTGGAATCTGGTCTTTTATGGGAATGGCACAGCCCAAGCAGGAAGGGTCCACTTTCCCTCTGAGCTGGAAGGGGTGGAACAAGAGCTGGAGAAGAGAGATGTGCCCTGACCCTGGATTACAAGTGTGCCCAGGCATCCACGAGGGTGCCAAGCCTGTCCAAGGCCCTGCAAGGCCATCTGAGTCCCTGCTGTTTGTCCAGGGGGCAGTGCTGACCCGGATTTCCCGGGGGTTTTCCGTAGGAGCCGGTCCTTGCTTGGCCCAAGGGGGCAAAGGCAGGTGATGTGGGTGGGTAAGGATGTGCTGGGGGATGTGTGGTGCTGGAAAACCCCCTGGGAGCTCATGGCAGGAGCTGATTGCTCCTCTCTGGGTGGCTGGGCTGGGAAGCAGGGGATGCCATTCCAGTTTCAGAGAGGTTACAAACCTGCAGCGGGCACTGAAGGGTCCCCCCCGTGATGGTGCCCAGAGAAATCTCTCAGGGCTGGGAGGGGAGGAGTTGAATTGGCTCTTGTTGTTGAAGGTGATGGTGCAAGGCACAACGGGAATTGTGGAATGATAAAATCATGGAATCATAAAATCATAACATCATGGAATGGTTTGGGTTGGAGGGGAGTTTAAACACCATCTACAATGAGAATATAATGGGGTGGGGGGAAATGTTTCCAACACCAAAACCCACCGTTCCACCCAGCCAGCTGCTCCATGAGGACCAGACCCTCCCCTGTCCCCCCTTCCCCTCACCCCAGCCAGTGTGTTTATTAAAACCACCAGAGAAGCCCCAAATTTGTGCACTTCCCTGCACACAATCGCTGCCTTTGTGACCAGCAGGGACTGGAGGCATCAAGGCCAGGATTTCCTCTTCTCCTCCCAAACTCTCTGAGTTGTTTGGGGTTGTTTTGTTTTGTTTTGTTTTGCCTTCGGCAAAAATTCCAGCCCTGGTTGAGTGTTGGTGTGAGACCTGCAGGGGAAGGTGCTCCACAAGCACAAGGTATCATTGACAGCCTGTGCCCTGGGCTCTGCAGCAAGGCCTGGACAATGCTAATAATGACATTTATAACGGTCTGTTGTTTGTCACCCAGCAGCCCCGAGGCCCAGGCACGCCCAGAGCGGGCTCAGAGAGAGCAGAGAGCTTCAGTCAGGGCACTGGGTTTGAATAACATCATATAATCATCCCCCAACTGCTCTCCAAGCCCTGACATCGTCCTGCTCAGGGCTTGTGGCAGGAGAAGTTCCCTGGGACACAGAAGCCAGATCCCTGCTCTGCTCCTGCTTTTGCTGATCAGTGAGGGGGTTTGTGAGTCGTTTACTGCCCAACTATTTTTTTTCTCCTTTTTTTTCTCCCCCAGAAAAGGCGTCTGTCTTCCCTGACACGTGGGGACATCTGGAGCAGAGAGTCCTTTTAATGTCCAGCTCCATCATGTGCTGGGGGCACATGTCACCCTCCTGGCCAGTGATTCCCCAGTGGAACCCTGATGGTTCCCCCAAACAAAGTGCTGATTTCATCAAAAATCAAAAGGCACCACTGTGTCAGGCTCCTGTGGCAGAGGGACCTCAAGATCCATCGTGGCCGGGCAGGCAGTGCCTCTACAGAATAGAAAATTAGGGATTGGGAAGGAAGGCCCTGGCACAGATTGCCCATAGAAGCTGTGGCTGCCCTGGATCCCTGGAAGTGTCCAAGGTCAGGTTGGACGGGGCTTGGAGCAACCTGGGCCAGTGGAAGGTGTCCCTGCCCATGGATCTTCAAGGTCCCTTCCATCCCACACCATTCCAGGGTTCTGTGATCCCTGAGCCCTTGCTCTGGTTCTCTGGGAGGGGTTGACCTGTCTGTGCACAAACCCCTGGGTGCAGGTGCCTCTTGGCAGGGCTGGTGCAGCCCAAGCAAACAGGCCAGCCCTGCCCTGCCCTGCCCTGCCTTGCCCTGCCCTGCCCTGCCTTGCCCTGCCCTGCCCAGCAGCAGCCCAGTGAGGATAATTCCCCCTTTGTTCCCTCCTTTTGGAATTCTTTGCAGCACAAAACATTTGCTTCTGTTCACTCACATGGCCACTTCTCAAGGGCTCACTCTCTGTGGCCAGTGAGGAAGATGAGGGTCTGTCCCCTCTGTGTCCCCCCAGCCCCTGGCACAGGATGCTGAGGGTCATCCTGCCCGCCCAGCTGCACCAGTCTGGGCTTTACTGGGACGGGAGAGGACTGGTGAGCTCCTGCTGGGTGGCAGCTGCTCTCTGTGCACCTCCAATCCACGCCTATTCCCTGTAAATCACTGAATGCCCACGGGGGTGACCAGGGCACCAGGCTGGCTCTGGGGCTGCAGGGGAGCCCAAACACATCTGCAAAGCCAAGGGTCAATGTGACCACTCGGGGGGGGCAGCAGGACCCACAGCACCCCCATTTCCCTCCCAGGATCCCATACTGGTGTTCCTATAAGCCAAAATCCCCCTGACAGCCACCCTCGCCCCCTGTTGTCCCACCGCAGAGGGGCCCACCCGAGGCACGGTGCTGCTTCTCCCGTGTCCAGCCTGACCCTGGGAAAGCCCCCGCGCTCCTCAGCGGGGCAGAATTCACGCACAACCCCCCCGGGGTGCCCCCCAAGGTGACTCCCGGCAGCGGCGCCGCTCGGGAGTGTTTGCTCCTCAAACAACCCCGCGGCAACCTCGGGATGTTTGAACGCGCCGGCTCCGCATCCAGCGCTGGGACACCCCCCCGGCGGGATCAGCAGCCTGGCGGGATCAGCAGCCTGGATTTCCCCTCCATCTCCTGCCGGCATCCCGGCCCTTCCCACGGCGGGGCTGGGGGGTGGCACATGCTGTTCTGGGGCGCTGCTCAAACACGGTGGAGGGGAGGGATGGGGAGCCGAGCTCAATAGCGGCAGTGTCAGGCGGCAAAGTCAATATTGGCTGAGCAAACACGGCAAATAAAGAGTTGCTGTTTGCGCAGCTCCCGGTGTTTGTGAGCTCTGCTGCTCGACAGGGCACTTGGAAAGAATAATAAGCCAAAAAAAAAAAAAAGAGTTGTTTTTTTTTTTTTTTTTCTCCGAGGCTGGGAATGGTTTTTATTTCGGGCTGTTATTGAGGCTCACCTTGGCTTCCTCAGCAGTCCCGGTGGCTCCACTGGGGGATGGATCCCTGGGGTTTAATCCACGAGGAAAAGCGTGGGAACCCGTCAGGTGTGGGAACCCAGCAGAGCCACCAAGTGCTGAAGCTGGAAATGACCTGCAGTTTTCCAGCTCTTCTGCTGGAGAAACCACTGTCTCCTGAGTGCTGTTTGCCCAGACAAGCTGTGGATGGATCCCTGGGAGTGCCCAAGGCCAGGTTGGACGGGGCTTGGAGCAACCTGGGCTGGTGGAAGGTGTCCCTGCTCGTGGCAGGGGGTGGAATTAGATCATGTTTAATGTCCCTTTGAACCCAAACCATTCCAGGATTCCATGCTCACCTCCGGGCCTGTCGATGCTCCTCTTCCCAGGACAGGGGCCGTGTGTAGGAGCTCCTTTCCCACCAGATCCCATTTGCATTTCCCTGGTTCTCATTAAGTCCCTGGCACTTTTCAAGGTTCTCTGTGTGACCTTCCAAACAACACGTGCCCCTGTTTGTAACCTGTGGCCTGGTGCCACTTTGAGAAACCCTGGGAATGAAATCCAACCAACCATTCCCTCAGGAATCTTGGATATCCCAACGTACACCCCCAACGTGCATCCTGCCAGGGGCAGAGCAGAGCCCAGCATCATCCCAGGCCTCTTTCCTCATGGAAAACAGGATTAAACATCCATGCCAAGCCAGGTTAGTTCATGAGCAGCCAGTCCCTCTTTTCCAGGGCCCCTTTCCCAGCTGGGAATGGATGTGCTGCCTTCCTGGTTTGGCCTGTGGAGCATTTTCCATGCAATCTCCAGCCCAGGATGCTGCAGAGACCTAAATAATACAGTGGGGATTAAATAATTGATTCTGGAGAAGGAGAGGAGCTGTGAGGCACAGGCAGGAGAATAAATGTATATATAGACATGTATATATATATATATTTATATATATATATCTCAGTGGTTTGGCTGAGCCGGAACAAGGTGGACAGTTGGGTGGTGAAGAGCTGCCTCTTGCAGGGAAGTGCAGGGAAGAAGAGTTTGGTGCAGGGAAGGGTGGAAAATACTGGGAGAGATAAGATGGGCACTGGGGCAGTGCAAGATGTTCCTGCAGCTGCTGAGAACTTGGGGCACCGGGAGCCTCAGGGAGCAGAGAGGGAAGGTGGGAGAAGAGGAACATTCCTGCTGAACTGGAATGAGAGAACCCTGGAATGGTTTGGGTGAAAGGGATCTTAAAACTCATCTCCTTCCACCCCCTTCCACGGGCAGGGACACCTTCCACCAGCCCAGGTTGCTCCAACCTGGCCTTGGACACTTCCAGGGATCCAGGGGCAGCCACAGCTTCTCTGCCCAACCTGTGCCAGGGCCTGCCCACCCTCCCAGCCAGCAATTCCTTCCCAATATCCCTCTGGCAGTGGGAAGCCATTCCCTGTGTCCTGTGCCTCCATCCCTTGTCCCAAATCCCTCTCCAGCTCTCCTGGAGCCCCTTTGGCCATGGCTGTGCTCAGGGACAGCCTCTTCCCTCTGCACCATCCCAGCTCTGCCTCCTGGGGGGTTTTGGACACACGAAAACATCCGCTCCTAAATTCCACTGGCAGAGTCTGGATATCATGGAGCGCATTTGCTCTGCAATTACAGCCCAGGCTAATGCTGTTTGCAATAATTAAATTCACATGACAAATGTAGTCGCATTAATTTTATTTATCTTGAGTGGGTTAACAGGAACTAGCAATGGAAAAAGTAATTATTTCGCTTCTAGGGCGCTGGGATTGCTGATTTGGAAACCTCTCCGAGACATATTCCTTAAATGTGGAATAGCAGCATGTGAAATGCATGAGGAGCCAATGCAGTGCATAAAAATGAACATAATTTCTGAAAAATGGAATTAATGAGGCAATGAGACTGTTTTAATGAGCACAAGGGCTGCAGTAAATGTCACTGTTCCCATGTCTTTATTGTAAATTAGGATGGGAATTTTTAGCACGCTCTGCCTGCCCCAGCCCTCGGGGAAGGGGTTGGAGGGGCTGGGATGGGCTGGGATGAGCAGGGAAGCCCAGCCTGCTCCTCTCCTGCTCCGAGCTCAGCACAAGTCCTGCCCTGCTGATACTGTGGGGTTTTTTTCCCTGCTGGATGAAGAGTTTGGTGTGGAGAAGGAGCAGGACTGGGAGAGGGAGGGGAGCAAACAGCCAGTGCAGGGATGACATCCATCTGTGCCACAAACACTGGCCAGGGCTCGGGGGGCTGGGGGGGTTCTGTGCTCAGACACTGAGAAAACTGTTGGATTTCTCTGCTTAAATAAGGGAGGGGTTAAAAGGCCAGGGAATAACAGCTCAGGGCTGAGCTTCCCAGCTCCCAGGGAAATGTGCCTTGGGACTGCTGGATTCAGCAGCAGCAGCAGCAGCAGGGCATCAGGGAATGAGGGAGTCTGGAATGGTTTGGGTGGAAAGGGATTTTAAATATTATCCAGTGCCACCCCCTGCCATGGGCAGGGACACCTTCCACCAGCCCAGGATGCTCCAAGCCCCGTCCAACCTGGCCTGGGACACTTCCAGGGATCCAGGGGCAGCCACAGCTTCTCTGGGCAACCTGTGCCAGGGCCTGCCCACCCTCCCAGCCAGCAATTCCTTCCCAATCTCCCATCTCTCCCTGCCCTCTGGCAGTGGGAAGCCATTCCCTGTGTCCTGTCCCTCCATCCCTTGTCCCAAGTCCTGTGTGTGCCAATCCCACAGCTGAGGATGTTTTGGGTACTGGTGGGCCCTGGAGCCAGAGGCTCCTGCTCCTGATGCCTAAATGGGCCCATATTCCCAGTTTTCAGCTGCAAGGTTTCCAGTAGGGATGACTGATGTAATGGGAGTTCTTGTTTAAGAGCCAGTGCATCCCCCCTGTGCCCCTGGATTCCACCCCCTGGCACCACTGCTCCCCTGGATAATGGGAACCACAGCCAGGGAATTGGGGCACAAAACACAAAGGAAAATACAGTTTGGGCCATAAATTTCACAAAATATATTCTAATATGGGTCTTTCCTTCTTTTGTACTGGGGTTTCCCTTCAGTTTAAAAAGCAGGAAAATAAAAAAATCAAAACAAAGGCAGCCTGGAGGGTATTTGTTTTCCCCTCTCCCATTCAGCCACAGAGGAAAAGGGAGAAAAAGGGTTCAAAGGAAAGGAAACACTTGAATTTCTGTGAAAGGTGCCCGGGAGGAACAGCAGGATCACGATACCCTTCCCTGCCTGCTCCAGTCCCCCTCAGTGCTCCTGGGGTGCTGAGAGCATCCCAACTGCAGGGGAGCCACCCCCAAAATTCCCAGGGCAGCCCTTATTGCAAAGCCAGGCTGGTTTAACCCCAGAAGAGGCCGAGCTGTGCCCTCACCCCTCCTGGCACAGCCCTGCCTGTTTGCAGGCGTGTTCCTACAACTTCCCAATTGCCATAAATCCCATTGTGCAATATTCCCCAGAACCAATTAGACCCTGACATCTGCTTAATGTTTAATTACTTTTTGACGAAGGAAATGGAAAAATTGACAAATAGTTTAATCCATCAACCGTCGGCCTTTTGTGAGGGTGTTTATACAAAGCTCACATGCCAACGGCTCCTCATTTTTCTTGCTGCTCTGGCAAGGAGAAGGACAAATATTTATATTCCAGGCACACAAGATGGCTTTCATATTGTTTTCATGTTTAACTGCTTTCAAATGAACTGAGATGGTTCTTAATGTGGTTACAAGAATTTGCCATTAATTTTCACTTAAGATTGGCTCCAGCTTGCTCCCTGCCTCCAATATCTGGGAGTTAATAAGGATTTGTTTGGGAGCGCCGCGCTCACGGCTGCCTGATTGGCACGGCTCACGGGGTGGAAATATCGCCTTCCTATTATGCTGAGATGATAATTAAGCTTGGAATATTAGAGATCCCAGCCCTGGAAGTGTTCCCAGGCCAGGTTGGAGCAACCTGGTCTGGTGGAAGGGCTTCCTGCCCGAGGCAGGGGGTGGAGCTGGATGGGTTTTAAGCCCTTTCCCACCTAAACCGTTCCAGGATTCTGTGATTGGAGTATTGCTCCTCTTTCGGGGTGCTTAATGCAGAATATTGAAGTTAATACCACAGGAAAAGGCAGCTGAGTGTCCCCCCATCACCTCTAAACACCAGGAAATGCCCCTGCTTTGCCATGGGATGCTCGGGCTCATCCATCCAATCCCACCCCCAGCAGCTGCACCAGCCTGGATCTGCCTTTCCCTCCTTTTGGGAAAGCAGGAAGAAGGAAAGCAGCCCATCTGCCTGATACCTCACTTACACATTTAATAAAAGGAATAAAATATCAGAAACGCGGGGGAAAAAAAAGGCCTTTAATAATTCAACACCGCCGAGTTGTTTCATTACCTTAATATCTGCAAAACTTGCCAGCAGCTCCTGACACCTCTCCTCGCTCAGGATCTGAGCCGCGGAAGGCAGGAGGATGAGGCAGGGATGGATCCACCTGCCCTCATTATGCTAATCAGGATGTCACAGGCCCTGCCTGGAAGGGTCCCGGGAAAGCGAAGCGCGATAAAATCTGCCCCAGAACAGTTGCTGGGGAGAGAAAAGGGCGTCAAGCCCGAGCAAGGCCATGATCCCCCCCCACCCCGGGCAGCTTTGCAAGCTCCGTTATCGGCTGACAGGGAGCCCCACTAAGTTTATAGCGAGGTTCCCTCTCGCCTTTGGGATCCTCGGGATGTGCGGGAGAGGCAGCGCCGGGATGGGCTGCGCTGTTCGAGGCGTTTGCTCGCCCTGCTCCGGGGGTAAGCGGCCGCTCCCCGAGGC